GTGAATCTATGAATCCTTAATAAAATTAGCTTTGGTTTCAGGATGCAAGAGAACCTTTCCAAGAAGTATAATAATTTGATGGTTGTTAGTAACTCTAAGAATAAAGTCTGCAGGTGACATTTTAAGAAATCCAAGAATAAAACTCCTTTGCTGAGTCAGTGTTCATAGACACAAGATACCCAGAGACAGGAGTATCTTTTATCTGACTAAACACTGCATACAACTTTTTTTATTTTCTGATTGGGTACATAATGACAAATCAAGAGCAATGTACTTCTCCTATATAATATATTACCTTAGTTTGTTTGTATTGTTTTTGTTGCAGCAAATCCTCGTCTTAAACTTTGAAATTATTTTCCAAGCACTATATCAATGTTGTCAAATTAGAACCCAAGAATTTTCTAGTTTTATTAATTTTTAAAATAAACGGACAGTTTTGAATTTTGGTTTCAAGGACTCCCTCGTATAATTAAAATAATGTGCTCCAACTGTCTTTTCAAATGCCAAAGGTTAATATTTGATGAAGGACAGCTTTCTTCTAATAATGTCATTAAATTTTTATCCATTGTCTCCCTGGACAAGCTCTCTTAAATAAGACTAGAGAATAACAGTCAGTTTAAGTTTATTTCTATGGCAAGTGGAATTTGGAGCTCTACAGCAGCATGCAGGTTACCTCCATGCAGCTATGCTCCTTGTACAGAAGGAATGAACAATTCCATCCATAGGCCACATCTCCTCAGCAGTAGAACCAAAGTAATGCTTTTAACAGGCACCTCTTCACAGTCAAGGAGAAGATACACCCCTTAAGATACATATAAACAATCTATATTAATTTCAGTGAAGTGTTAACTGTAAGACTTCTGTTTCAATGTGTGCCCATCTCATTTTTCTAAACTACTACAAATGTTTGGGCCTGCGGGGGGTTTCAACCATCTCAGTCCCATCTACGTCAAAAATCTGATAGCACTTTGAACGCTGATAGCACATAAAATAAATCTTCTGTCTGTTGGCCCACTGGATGATTTGTCAAGAGTCATGTATTTTCCCATTAACTACTAATTCAATTATTGCATTGAAACAAAAGAAAAACTATGTTGATTTCATTATTTATTTTCAAATTTAAATTTTAAAAAGTCATCTTTAAGGTACCTTTGTTGGTTACAGAATTTCATTTTGTTTTTTACTCATAATTAGAACCAACTCAGATAAGGACAGCTAGATTCAATTCTGGTTCAAGCAGACTTAATTTAACAATATTTCAGTTTCAGCATATAATAGTTGCAGTTCCACCTTCATTATCCCTTCTGAAGATGATTAGTTTGTCCAGCTGTACACGAGGACAGAATTTAGTCTGCAGAAACTTTATTACCGGTGATGAAATAAAAAAAATAAAAGAATCCAGATTGACTTTTAAATCTCAGGGTTGAGTTTGCAACATTGACAACAGAAAAAAAAGTTTGCTTATAAACTGAACATATAATATGAAATAATTGAGATGAACAAAATATCATGGAACTCTCAATGTTGTTTTACTGAGTCACTTATCAGCATGGGTCTACAGTCAAGTTGACTGAAACAGAAAAAAATGACCTCAAAGGATTATCTAATTGTGTTGCTACACAGGAACAAGATTAATTTCACTCAACATCTTTAACTTGTAATGATTTCAAATTAGTAGAAAAGACAACTATAGTGTGCTTCCATTCATTTTGGATTTCTTTCTAAAATTATTCTTATAAACGATAATACACATTTATTCTAACAGATGGTCCAAGCAAGGACAGCAATCAGTAGGTTAAGGATAATTAAACAAATGGTGATAGTGGTGGTATGGATATCGATTTTACTTTAATATTTATTAGCTGAAAGGTCAGACATATAAAATGACATTTAAAAAGCAAAATTTTTGCTTTGTTAGAACTTTTTCACCAATCCTACTGAAATCCATTGAATAAGATTCCAGATAGCTTTCAGATGATTGAAACAGTTAATAGTATTCCACTAAATATTCATAGGCCTTTCACCGGATTAATTTTTTTGTTCACTGCCTATTAAAACATTTTCAATTTGGTACTTACTGAAATTTACTATATTGCCAAAGGTCAAATAATTCCTCAACATGGGGACATATGAGTTTACGCAAATGCTCAACACTGACATGAATTTCACCCAGCACATCCATCTAAAAACTCATGATTCAGTTATGAGCTAAAGATTTAATAACCAAGCCAGCTCTTTTAGAGCTTATGCCGTCTCAGACCATATTGAATGCAAGGGAAAATAATTGAACTACTCAATTGTAATTAATTGCAATAACCACAGGAAAGTTATTTTCCTAAATAATATGAGAAAAGAATCTGAATATTCCACTGAAGGGACAGCATCTTAATGGAAATTAAAAAAAAACATTTCAATGCTTAATTTCAGAGATTAAAAACAGATTTACACAACAATTTACTTTATGAAATGAATTCATTAAAATTTGGGTACAATAAATAGGGAAAAGTGTGTTATATCTCCATCAGATGGAGAAGGTACATGTGACGTGTGTGCATATCCCACACTGAGATAAAAGGGGTTAAAATCCTGTGGGTGAAGGAAGTCCCACACCTCCAGCCAAACTGGGCATGCTCCAGGTGCTGGGGCAGTATAAAAGGGAGTAGCTTAGCTCAGTCTTTGCTGGACAGGAAGGAACTGCTACAGGAGTTCCAGAAGCGGACCAGCAAGAGAGACAGCTGATGGGGAGCTACATACCCAGTAGACTGTATCAATCCTCTAGAACTAATGAAGCCTTAGGGGGACGCTGGTGCTGCAGAGTCTGAAGACCCCCGAAACCATATGGTTCACCCCAACATCCCAAGGGCTACTATATAGACTATGGCCATTAGCCTGCGCTGCCCTGAACTCAAGGGCTATGTTGCAGACTCTGGCAATTAGGCCGTGCTGCCCTGCCTCAAGAGCTACTGGACAGACTCAGGCCATTAGGCCACACTGCCTCACACTGACTCAGGTCACCTATGAACCGACAGCAGTGCAAGCAGCATCTACACACCCCTGAGCCCTGCCCTCACAAGACAGGGTGTGCATTTGCCGTGACAGTAAAATACATTAAAAAAAGTTACATTTCTATAAAACGGTGTTGTACAGCAGCACAGAAACATTTTACTGGTATATACTTTTATTTGGAATACGAAACTCAGCTTAATCCATGACAACCAATCCATATAAACATCCCTGAATTGTATACTGCAGCACTATATCAATATGCTTTAATTTATATTTCTCTTTGACCCATCCAATACACCACGGATTAGCACTTTCTAAACAAATAATCCAATTTGAATAGCAACATAAATAATTGCAATGGGCATCAATGCAAGGGGATTAGGTCACTAGAACTGAATTAACAAAAGATTTAACACACCTTGTGATTTAACATGCTATATTGCAACAATGCAGAAACAGGAAAGAGATTAGTCATATTTTCAGCTTGCACAGAGGTTTTTCTACCTCATGTGCAATTCCTGGTCAATGGGAGCAGTGAAGCTAGTCCTTGGGGCCATGCATAGAGCCCCTGTGGTCACTCCTGAGCCAGAGGGGCATGCTGGCAACTTCCCAGGAGTTGTGTGTCATCATAAATATGACAACCAATGAAATACACATTAAAAAAAAAGCATTAAACATAAGCTATAAATCCCAAGGGAAAGAAAGAAAAATAGAAATCTCCAACTGCAATTAGCCCAATTGTAGTATGGAAGACCTAATCCTGTGAGGTGCTGAGGACTCTCCGCTGCTACTTAAAGACTTCACCCCAGCTTTGTAACTAGCTCCACAGAGGGAGAGACAGTTGGAGGACTGGGATCAAAGTTAACTCAATGCCGTGTAACAGGTTCAGACTCTAAATACAGTCAATTCTTAAATAAAGTGGGTGAGCCGACACTTTCTGACACCAAGGTGATAGACACCTTAGAAATACCCAAGAAAGAAGCAGTAGGTAGGGGGTTGCAATATGTTGCTTTTCTACTAAGCATTCAGGAATAATTCCAGAGCAACTGGTTCATTTACCAATGGCTAAGGTCAAGAGGGCTACATGATCAGAAATAAGCGGAAGACAGACCAAACTCAAAAGAGTTTACAATCTAAGAAAGCAAGTAACATATGAAGGGGAAGGAAAGGACAGAGGAGAAAACATTAAAATACATACAGTCTTTTACTGATTTACAATTTAAAACAAAATTATAAAGTGCCATCTAATTCCTGCCTTCCAACCCCTCAATAATTGGTTGATTTCTCACAGTCATGATAGAAAAGGTAGGTTTTGAGAAAAGAGGACAGTGGTCCATATGGATCACTTCAGAGAAGGCATTCCATGCATAATGGACAGCATGGAAATATTTGAAAGAGAAACTAAAAGGATCTGACAAGATTAGAATAATTTTTTAAACAAAAAGAGCTAAAAAAGGGGGGGGGAAGACAAGTTGTGAGGATCAGCACTAGGAAGTAACTTGAAGGCCAGAACAAGAAACTTGAACACTCTGCAATAAACCAGGGAGCCAGTAGAGAGATTTGAACGGAGGAGTGACTTGGTAGAATAACAGCAAGATTATCATTATTGATGAGCTTTATATGAACCCAAGGAGTATGATGTGTAAGACAGGGAGCCTGCAGAGGAGACATTTACACTATATCATTTTCCTATCAGATGTAATTAAGAAGTTCAGCACATGTTAAGAGGCATTAATTGTGTAACAGTGATTATTGCATCATTGAGTTTTGGCAGGATGTTATTTACAAAATTGATTATATTACAACTAGTAATAAAAACAACAAAAACAAACATCCAAATCAGTAACATACCAGTTCCATTAACTGTTTTAGCTGACCTATCTCTTCTGGAAGGGAACCTAGCTTATTGTTACTTGCAATTAAAACTTTTAGAGGAAGACCACACAGGCAAGCTGGCAAAGAAGAAAGCTGATTTCGACTGCAACAGAAGAAACAAAAACAAACATTAAAAATACAGGTTACATTTTGTTGTATGCTCACTTAGAAAATCTGATGTGCTGCAAAAAAAAATTCCAGTTATTAAGATATCTTAATATATCAAGTTGAATTCACACAAAAAAGTAAATGAAAGTTTTGAAAAAAAATACATTAAAGCATCACACAAGTAAAATTAGGGGAAAAACACCTCTGTTTGCAGAATAAAATCACTTTATGGAATAGCATTATTCTGAAGCAAATGAATGATTCTTTTTATCAGTTTATACATGAATGTATTGCATGAACAAAGTGACATCAACTTTAACAGCTGTTTTCCTTCACAACAAATGCAGGAAACTCAAATGAGGGCAGTAGCCGCAAGCATTTAAAAAAAATCTATGATTTTACTGCAGTAAGCATAAATATGAGACTTTTTTTCAAGCTAACTAAAAGACAGGCCAACAACGGATCATAGAAAAACACTGGCATGCCTCTGGTTTTTAAAAACACAGTTACATGTGAAGACATTTCTGTGTCTGTAGCAACCCATTTTTCACCCAAGTATTTAAAACTGAGCACTGAAAATTCTTTACAGCCTGAAACTCTTCACATACCTCAGATCAGAAGAGCCAAATTGTTTATCCTCTTACCTGATCATTCACTTTCTGCAACTTGATCTTTCAAAACAGACCAAAATGTTTCTCCCCTCTCCAGTAGCAACAATAGAAAAGATGGCAAACAACCAAATCTAACATTTATTTATGAACTTTACTATAACACATACTTCATGTATATTAAAGTTCCATGTGAGCCAGAGATATGTTTGTTACCATACTTATTCTGCAGATGGAAAAACTAAGGAACAAGAACTTCGATTACTTGCCTAAAGCTACTCAGAGTTGAAGAGTATGCACCAAGGAAGGCTCTTGATTCCTAATCCTGTGATTCAACCACATACCCATCATTTTTAGGGTTGCCAGATGGTTTCAACAGAAATACCGGAACCACTTGACATTACATCACAATCTACATTACAGCTTATTTAGAAAATACCAGACATTTATATTTTCTCAATTTGTTTCCCGAAAAGAAAGCTTAAATACTGAACTTTCCAGTTCAAAACAGGACACCTGGGAACCCTAATCATTCTCCCACCCTTGATAATTTTCTTCTTCCTTGTTCACCCTTCAGTCAGGCTCCCCAGTTTGAGACCATCGTTATAGGCTAGCCAGCAATCCTCGTTCCTAACAGGAACTTCCTTTTTTAAAACCTCATAGGCTGGGTGGCTATAGTAGTCAACTCAGTAACACACACAGAGTTAACTGCTAGTTTGCTTTTCTGTGATTTTGATCAGAATAGACAACTAGGGCTGTCAGGTGTCCGGTTTTGAACTGGACAGTCCAGTTTTTGAGCTCTCTGTTCAGGAAACAAATTGAGAAAATATAAATGTCTGGTATTTTCTAAATAAGCTGTAATGTAGATTGTGATGTAATGTCAAGTGTGTCTGGTAATTTTGTTGAAACCATCTGGCAACCCTATAGACAACAGTTTTCTTACCAGTAGAACCTGACAGGACTCTCAGAATGCAGAGACTAATCTGAATGGAACCACACCAGCTATGATCCCAATAATTTCTTCCCTTAAAAGAGGAACTCAGCAGAGGGCGATCTTCACCTTTCTTAGCCAAATGAAGCAGTCACCAATGCCTGGTCAAGGTGGCAGCCTGGCACAGTTTATTTATCAAGGCTTCAACTCTGTCTGACAAGGAAGAAACTACAGCTCAATTTGAATATGCTCAGATCCTGATGAGGAAGGACACTGATGCTGTGATTCTTGCAAGCAATTCTTTAAGCACAATTGCCTATCAGGAAAGTTCACGGTCATCTGAATCCTTCAAAATGGATTAACAGTCAATCAATGTTTGTAAAGGCTCTGTTCCTGCAGAGAAATTTTAAAAGTAAACCATTTTACAAGGTCTTGTGCTCATCTTAGCTTCTTTCTGGTGTATAAATATGGGCTGAGAGGGTTTGTGGGTTTTTTTCCTTCATTAAAAATAATTGGACATCTTTGCAAACAGGCCATCCTTTCAATTAAGAGGAGAGCAATCGCAATGCATTCCTGAAGTGAAAAGTTCAGGATTCTTGGCATGGGATGATGGAAGAAGCAGAGTTACCTGTATATCTGAACTATTAGTAGTGCCTAAATATTCTTAAAAAAAATAGTCCCAAATAGGAGTAACAGTTCAATCAAGGAGGAAATGTTCCCTCCCAACAGACTGATCCACAGTGCTCTGCAAGCTACCAATGAAGTGCGAAATTAGCAGCCATACGTAGAAGACATACGGTTGCCAGATGGTTGAAACAAAAATCCCGAACACCAGCGTCCCCTACCCCCCCAAAAAAACTGGGAAAAAATTCTGTTGAAGAAAAAAAAGGGGGGGAGCCCAAAGTTGTTGAGCAAGACTTATTAAGAAAAAAAATTAAAATAAAACAGCATGAAAACAGCATGTCCCCTTTAAGAGTGAGTGCAGGGATAGGAACAGGGGAGCGATTGAGCACTAAGACCCAGGGGAGTCATTGCTTCCCCTTGGTTTTTTTGCCGGCAGCCTTGCAGAACCAAGTAAGCACAGGGTCGGAGGTCTGGGTGTGTTGGGGGCCGGAGAGGGACTCGGGGAGGGAAAGGGGAGAGGGAGGCCGGGCGTTGAGTGTTTGTAGGGTTGCCAGGTGCCTATCATTTTCACCTCCTGGCCGGGGGAAAAAAATCAGAAAATACCGGATATCTTAGGGGTCCGGTATTTTCTGAATTTTTTTTACCAGACAGGAGGCAAAAATACCGGATGTCCAGATGAATACCGGACACCTGGCAACCTTAAGAAGACATCCAATGTCATTACAACTGATAGCTCCTATCATAACCTTTCTGAAATTCCTTCAAACTTTTCTAATGTGAAAAGCAGAGAATTATGGATCCCAATGTCTTTAAACTACTTGAATAGATATAGCTGATCTGTAAACATAACAGCAGTAGGCTACAATTAAAAACTGTTTAGCCCTCAAATTAAAGTTTTCTTGATCGCTCCTAGCAAACACAGTTCTAAAGCAGGCTCCTCCCTCAAAGAAGCATTAGGTTCCTTAAGGAGGTCAAACAGAAAAGAGTTAAGTTAGCCTCATGGAAGAAAGTTATTGATCGGAAAATTATTCTTGGAGTCTGTTGAACTAGAGCGCCGATTTAAGATCCAAGGTGCACTAGGCTGTTTCCATAGCACTCAGAGTGAACAATTAAAATCCTTTCTTGTCCTTTAACCAGAAATACTGGAAGACTTGTGGAATCGATCTTCTCCAATAAGTTTCCAAACTGCATTGTGGAACAAATGCTTCTTAGCGGGTAACCTAGTTCTCATGAGTTCTAACTGAGATGGAGATTTAAATATTTGTTTCAGACACAATGGAGACTTTTTCTTCCTGAAGAAGAAGGTGAGCAATCTAGATAAGAAGAGATGAGTAGGGGCTTCAACATTATGTATTTGGCTGAATGGTTTATCAAATAAATAAATCCCTTAAGACTCTGGAGGAAGCATAAAAAGAAAAACAAGACTGGCTTCTCTGGGACTTTTCCTTGGTGAAGAACAAAAGGAACCTTGTTTAGATTGGAACACTAAACATTCATTTACTCAAGAAAGTATAATAGGGAAAAGAGCAGGGAGCTAGGAAACTACCACAAGGTGCTCACATGGAGCTGAAGAGCATTGAAGTGCCTCAGCATCTCTTTTATGCTTTCTTGTTCTCCAGAATCTAGGTTTTCATTTAAAATAAATAAAACTAGGACCCTAGTTACCTTGTTCAGACAGCCTCAAATACATGAACTGAAACAGACACTTTTGCAAATGTTTGCCCAACTTGGAACAACAGCTCTCAGAGTGTGACTTGCCTTATCCATTTCAAAGAGCGCTAACTACAACACCCAATGATATTTTAAATGTCAACACAGTTAAAATTTCACTGATCTTCAAACATATAAGGTGGAGTAAGAGAGGATCATATTATGAACAGATGCTTAATCTATTGTGTCTGACCGTTTTGGCACCACAAATGACTGAGATTGGGAGTGTGCTGCCAGATCCTCCCACAAATCGAGACACAGTCAAAGGCTCACAGACATAGAAGCTTCACTGCAGGTAAGCCAAACAAAGGGCTTTGCAGACCCCACTGATATATTCAGAATCTACTGGCGAGCAGCTGAGTTCAAGGAGATCAGGGAATACAAGACTATGTTTCTGAACATCTGCAGAGTCTACTGTAAACAGCATCCCAACAGAGGAGAACCCCTGTTGTGGATAGAGTTCACTACATTTCACTCCCAAATGCAATAAGATCTGTTTCCAATAAGGTTTACTCCTCTCCTCCTACTCGTCCCCCACATACCTGCTTCAACTAGCTGTGCTAGAGGGACTGTTCCATTGGGTAAGCTGCTTTTTCCCCTTCTGACTGAGGGGACTGAGTTCTGAAGAGGGACTGCCAGATCCTACTTCTAGAAGAAGCCAGAGCGGTCCAAATAGCAGGTGCTCTCTCAATACAAATACAACATACCAAACAAGCAGCGGGTGGGCAGCTGCTATAGGAAACACACTCCATGAAACTTTCTTAGCAGAATGCATCCACAAGTGGTGCAAAGACCACAACTTGTGCATATGGGCCACATAGATCACCCTCCTGCATCTTTGCAGCAGCAAGGTGATATTCCAACCGGGAGCTGCATAATAGCAAATAAAAAGCCACCGGGAGGGAAAACAGAGGAGGAGATTCTTCACTGTTGCCATATTGCTTCTTAATTTTCCAATCACAGGGGAAAATACTCTTTGGTCTGTGATGGACAGACCAAGCCCTACATGGACGTTTTAATGTTATGAAACAATAAAATAATAAAAGCGACAAGGAGTCCTGTGGCACCTTATAGACTAACTGAAGTGTAGGAGCATAAGCTTTCGTGGGCAAAGACCCACTT